AGCAGGCGGCAGGCTGTAATACAAGGTCCCCATGGCAACCACACAAAACCAGATGCACTTACCATGGCAACAGAGCTGGTGAGGGGGAATATGGCGAAGGTAGCGCTGGAGCTGGTGATGACCTCGACGAGTGTTTGAAGTGAGGCATGCTCAGCAGTAAAGACTTCTAAAACAAGAATTTTTTTTTTTAAAAGCAACCTTTTCTCACACAAAAGGTGACCATTTAAAGAAACATGCCAAAATGAATGAGGACATCTTTTTACACAATGCGTGATGTAATCCTGACAACAGGGCTGGATTATTTCAGCATCTACAGCATTGTTTTAATCTCTCACTTTTTGTTCTCCACTAATGACATGACAGCATGAAAGCAAAGAAATAAGCCAAAAATAAAACCAGTTAAAATGCTCATGCACAAGCATGTGAGACATGCGTCTGTTTTTTTTTCTTTGCAAAAAAAAAAAAAAAAAAAAAAACTATAACAAGTGGGAGAAAAGAGTTGAAAGCAAAGAAATAGGCCAAAAATAAAACCAGTGTTAAAATGCTCATGCACAAGCATGTGAGACATGTGTCTGTGTTTTTTGCAAGCAAACAAAAAAACAACTATAACAAGTTGGAGAAAAGAGTTGCATCATATAAAGGCTTAAGGCACTAGTCCAAGGCACCCTGAGCAGACCATGGTCTCCCTCCAAGACTCAGGCTACATTCCTTCAGGTGTTTTAGTGGCTTGGTGCAGAAGACCTATAAAGAACCTTGCAGCTCCTTGCTAGGGGAAGTGATAGGAATATCATGCAAAGGTATTCAGTTTATTAAATGACTTCTTCTCAACCAGCTTTGCTCCTCAAAAGACTGAACTTTCCCTTATTTTTTCAAAAGAACCCAAACCCATTCAGACTGTTCAGTCTTAGCATCATCCATAATGGTTTGTTAGATTCTCCATTAGAATTAACTCTGGACTCTGCTAACTTATTATGCTTTCACCTAAATCATCTCATTCTAACTATTGTGTGTTAATGAAAAGTCTCTTCCAGCCTCTGGCACGTTTCCTTCCAGTATTGCATTAAGGGTAATTCTATCAATCTTCATACCAGCTTTAACCAGCTTCTCTGTATTCCTGCTGAAGAGAAGTATGTTCCTGGCATTATTCTTCCACAGCCATGTTTATGTTGGAGCTGGTTTTTTCAAGATAAGATGCAGTTTGCTGTAAGTCTAGAATACAGCACCTTAATCCACCTGCTCACTAACCCTCACAGAGGAAACTTGCCACTCTGTTTTTACATAATTGATTTTAGAATACATAATACTCCTCTAATCAAGAGCCTCTCATGCAAAATTGAGAAAATAAGAAAAAAAGCAATAGCTAAAAGCAAATTTGAGCTCAAATAAAGTGTTTCCCATATTGTTGTTTTCCCTTGGGTATATGCCATCCATGTGTTAACAAATAACCTTCTCTGAGATTAATTAATAGATGAGAGTGTTGAGAATTGGATTTTTGAAGACAGTAAGATTTGTTTCCATGACAAAGAAATGTTAAAAAAGAGGATAATTGTGCAAAAGGTTAAAATCTCCAGCTACTCTGGTTCAGACTGTTTTTCATTCTAGCAGTTATTAATTCCATCAACCAAGCTCTGCCATCCCCTTTTGCTCTTCCATAGCCTCCATGGCAGGATTTCCCTCTTCTTTCAGAACATATCTGGTACCAAGTGATTTTTAAACTCTGAGGTGATGAAATGCATTAATCCTCTGTGCTGTGATTTCTCCACCCTGAAGCATGGCTGTCTGTGAGATGGTGGGTGTGGCAGAGCAAAGAAAGGCAAGAAAAGCGCCCAAGAGCTCTCTCACTGTCGCCACCTATCGGTGAAAGAGAGCTTAACACTCCCTGCGTGTGTTAAACTGTTTTTTTTTTTTGTTTGTTTTTTGTCATAGTCACGATTTTACACATTTATTACTCTCTACCTCTTTTTTTCAAATAGCTGTTGTTGAATTTATATTATTGTTCTAAACTACTGGAGGTAAAACCCAAAATGGAGGCCCAAATTATCCATCAAATCCAGTGTGACACAGAAACAATTCACAGGTTTCACACCAAATAGGAGGTTTGAGTCTATTTATATATTTTATTTTTTAATTATTGGGCGGTTTCAATCAAAAATATTTTATGTGATTATTTTTATCTACACTTTATGAATAGCTTTGTTAAAAGTTTTTATTTTCAGACGCCAAATAAAATCTGATTTGTAGAAAAACAAACAAATCATTTAGCCAGGAAAAAAAAAATGGCAGTTTAACAGTACCAAGAGTTGTTTTTTTTTACCTAGCAATATGGTGCCATCGTGTGCTTAAAAGTTGTACTGCAATACCTAAACAGATCATTCCTCTTATCACTTTCTGGAAGACCCTTGTAGTTAAGGTGGGCATTTATCTTTAATATTTTGCTACCGATTACTGACATGGGACACCTGAGGTGCAGGTAAGACCCTCTTTTTATAGCCATGAGTGTTTGCGAACTTATCTGAGATTGTGATCCATACTAAACCAGAGGATGGCAGGACTTTTTTGATAGCACAGTACAACATATTTCCATTCATCATTCACTAATGCATACCACACAACGACAGATTTTAATTACATTTTCTCATCTTTGAACTTTAGATTTTAATGGATAGATTTTGCAGAATAAATCTACTGTACATTTTAGAATTCTTAAACACAATCTCTCCTGCTTTCTGGACTTTAAGCTCATTTGAAAAAATTCCTAAAGGAAATAGACAGCTGGGTTTGATTTCTCATGGCCAGTTTGGTCATATTTTGTAACCTGCAATATTTCAGGAAGGAATATGTTTAAACCCTGTGATTGCATAAACGAGAGACATGACCTCAAAAAGAAAAATCCCAATTATCTAACTATTTATTTGTATGTTACAGCTGAAAATAAGTATTTGAAAACCTGAGAAAATCAATGTTAATCTTTAGCAGCCTTTGCCTGCAATTACAGAGGTCAAACGTTTCTTAAAGTTTTTCACCAGGTTTGCATCCACTGCAGGAATGATTTTGGCCCACTCCTCCGCACAGATCTTCTCTAGATTAGTCAGGTTTTGGGGTTGTCGCTGAGAGACACAGAATTTGAGCTTCCTCCAAAGATTCTCTATTGGGTTTAGGTCTGGAGACTGACTAGGCCATGCCAGAACCTTGATATGCTTCTTACAGAGCCACTCCTTGGTTATCCTGGCTGTGTGTTTCGGGTCGTTGTCATGTTGGAAGACGAAGCCTCGACCCATCTTCAATGCTCTAACTGAGGGAAGGAGGTTGTTCCCCAAAATCTTGCAATACATAGCCCTGATCATCCTCTCCTTAATACACTGCAGTCTCTCTGGTACTCATCATTCTTCTTCCTCCAAACACAGTTAGTGGAATTATGACCAAAAATGTCTATTTTGTCTCATATGACAACATGACTTTCTCCCATGACTCCTCTGGATCATCCAAATTGTCATTGGCAAACTTTGACTAGTGCTGGTCTAAGCAGGGGGAACCTTCTGTGCCATGAATGATTTCAAACCATGACGTCTTAGTATGAGGAAGTAGTGTGAGGAAGATTGACAGTCATGTTTAGCTGCTTTCATTTTCTAATGATTGTCTCCAGCAGTGGACCTTTTGTCACCAATCTGCGTGCAAATTTCCCCACAGACCTTTCCAGGCTTGCGGAGGTGTACAATTTTGTCTCTAGTGTCTTTGGATGTCTTGGCCATGCTAGTAGATCGATTCTTACTGATTGTATGGGGAGGTCAGGTGTCTTTGTGCAGCTAACGACCTCAAACAGGTGCATCTAATTTAAGATAACAAATGGAGTGAAGGTGGACATATTGAAGGCAGACGAACAGGTCTTTGAATGTCAGAATTCTAGCTGATAGACAAATTATGATTTCTGGATTTTTTTTTATATACTATGTCTCTCACAGTGGATATGCGCCTACGATGACAATTTCAGACCTCTCCATGATCTCTAAGAGGGAGAACTTGCAAAATAGCAGGGTATTCAAATACTTATTTTCCTTGCTGTATATATAACATCTTGTAAAAATAGTCAGGCTGCTTGAACTTCATGACCGTTTGCCACATTTGAAGCTTCAAGCTTAAAAATATAACATTTTAATTTTTTGTGAAAAAGAAACAAGTGGGACAAATTGTATTGGATATTTAAATTTTTAACTAATAACAGAAAAATTTGGTGTGCAAAATTAGCCCCCTTGAATTAATACTTTGTAGCTCCACCCTTTGCTGTGAATACAGCTGCAAGTCATTTGGGGTACGTATCTAAGCTTTGCACATCGAGAGAATGAAATTATTGCCCATTCTTCCTTGCAAAACAGCTTGAGCTCATTGAGGTTGGATGGAGAGCGTTTGAATGGCACTCCTTAATTCTTCCCACCAATTCTCAATTGGATTCAGGTCTGGACTTTGACTTGGCCATTCTAACAGCTGGATATGTTTATTTATGAACCATTCCATTGTAAGCTTGAAAAGTTCAGTTGAGGTAACTGGACGTGAAGATTTGTAGAAGAAGTTTCACCCCTCATCCAAGATGCTTCTTCAGTTCTAAATAGTGGTGGGAAGCACTGAGATCAATAAACTGTAGGTGTATATTGATACAGTAGCAACAAAGAATTAGGGGAAACAAAAGGTGGCTCCGATCCCTCCTACTGGCCAGGTCCCTTAACACCCCCCAGGTGACCTCCAAGGCCAACCTTCAGATTATTGATTCTTCACAGAAAAAAAAAAATATATTCTTATGTTTTAAGCCTGAAATGTGGCCACATATATATATATATATATATGAGTAAAATCTACAATCAAAGAAATGTAAGATTTTCTTTAAAATTACTTCAGTTTAAGAGCTCATTGTACTCATATAGTTCTTTGTGATTTTTTTCTGAATGTGGCTGCGCGTCTAATTTAGGGGTAAAAAAAAAACTCATTCATCGTGAAATAATTCAGTCAGGAACTTTCTTTTTTTATTTCACACATCAATTTTTGAACCATTACAATACAACATAACGCAACTCATCCCACATCTCTGCCATTTATTACAGCTTTGATCTTATAATTACAAATCAGTGACTTAGATCAGTGGTCATATGTTATTATGCAACAATTTTAATATTAGCATTTGTCTTTGACATCAATACACAGTGGCTGCAATACAACTACTTGTGCATCTATGTTCAAGGACACAACAGGTAAAACGCAGTGCAAAGTTTCCCTAAATGTCTTGTCATGTTATTGCATATTAAATATCAACAGAGCTATAAGATCAACCAATCAAACCAAATTGCAAACAAATAAAATAAAAAGGAAAAGAAAAGACACATTAAGACAAAATAAATAAAGCCGAATGGGCTGAAGCTCATCTGCTAAAGGTGTTGTTACAGACAAGAAGTCGCCTCACAGACCCTGAGAAAGCTTCTCTAACCAGCATCACAAGAGTTGAAATATACCGCTTGGCTCCAAAGATGTACGGCTCGTTTAGTTAACGGTCTGCTTCTGCCTAAGTTCTAAACCAGAAAAAAAGATTAGCTGCGCTACATCTATGAACCACAGCCAGTGAAATGGGTCACTTGCCACATGTCCTTCAGATCCCTTTACACTTCCACCAATCAATGGCAGGCCAAAGGTCTCTGCTTATTGATTACAGTGTGAGGGTGAGAGAAAAAAGTTGCATAATAATTCTGACGCATTCTTTCAAAAAGGAGTATATTTCTTTCTTATATAATATATAATTTCACCTACATGGAGCCATTTTGAAAATAGGACATCTGGATAGATAGAGCAGCATCATAGACAACTTTAACTTGGCATCCATGTGATGGATCTGTTAAACATTCAGTGTTTCTTTGAGATCTTGATTAAAGTTGGTATTTGAAGCACATGTTTTATAGATATCTAAAACCTGCATGTCTAATTATGCTTGCAGGCTATTCACTGGAGTCAGAGCTCTAGTTTGTCTGCTTTGCTTCAGCGCTCAGTTTTTCTCTAGAATCACAGAAAAAGAGCAAAATGTGGCAAACATCTTTCACCTTGTGCTTTAAGCTCTTCCATGAACCAGACTACAGTGGGCCTTGGTTCAGGTAACCTTTGCTCAACCTTGCTTCAAGGAGCAGAGGCACTGCCGGCAATTTATCTCTAAAATATTCTTTTGACTTCACTCTAATTCTCCAGCATTTTCGCTTTTTGGTTCGGTGCAACAGCTTTTCTCTGTTTTCCTTACATTTTGCTGTCTGTATACATCTTATTTTCATTTATCCTTCCCCTCAGTGCTGCAGCAGAAAGTTAGTTGCCATGTTGATGTCGTTATTTGAAGCTCTGAGGGCCTCCAGGGCGTCGATTCTGGAAAAACCCATTTCCACTAACAGTGCAACCTGTGGAGAAAATGTGCAATTAGAGCAGAACACAAATGAAAAACCTTTTTGAACATTGTTCTGAGTGCTACCTGTTCCTCTGCAATGGGAGAGTTTTCCAGCAGCGGTGGCTGTGTGGACTGGTGTGTCTGGGCCTGAGGTTGGGGCTGCACTGGAGGCCTATTCCGTCCTCTGTGTCTCAAAGAAGGGAATAACCTGGTCCACTGCAACAACCCAGCCTACACACACAGAAAGGAAAGAAATATAATACTTTTTAGAGCACAAAGTGTAATTTACGCTATGACCAACATGCCATAAAAAGTTCCTTGTCAGCATTAGGGAAACATAACAAAAGAGTTTTATAGCATTGCTACAAACTTATCAAACTGGTCAAGCAGCCATGGAAAGCACCCAAATGTGAGCCAAAGAAATAAAAAGACTTCAGAGGAAATCTCTTTTTTTTGTATTTTGTAGCAAATTAGAGTTACAAATCAAACCACTGACTAACGAAGGACTAATAATGCATTTAAATCAAATCATCTACAGAAATTCTACATAGAAGAACATTTGCTTCCAAAAACCGAACAAAATAAACAAAGAAAAACCAAAACCAGCTGCTGTTTTATCATTAAACTGTTCTTTATATAGGATTCAACAAAAAAAATAAAGATCCTTAAAATAAAGGTATCAGTGGCTCATTGTTACAAGCAACCAAATGGAGATGATGCACCCTTGTGGATGGGGATCAGAGGACCTCCTGGTGTGGGAGCCCACCTGTGGCTGATGTCTGGCATTCCTTCTGGTCTCGTATTGTGCCATTAGCATCTGCTGGTCAAGCAGATCCATTCTCTGCTGCCTCTGGATGTCTAGGGTGGCCCCCATCCCCAGAGGCGTCTCATCAGTCGGCTGTGAACCTGGGCGACATTAATGGAAACACACCTTATTACACACACATGTCTTCATCATGGCGGTGCCTGACGTAACGGACTGATACAGCTCTTGACAATTCTTCCAACAATTCCACAAAATATGCCGTTTAGAATGCTACTAACCAGGCATTGAACACGCATCTATGACCGCCAATGCCTGCTGGAGCTACGGTCACAAAATGCTTTAAATACAGCCGATCTTGATTGTTTAAAAAGCTGTGGAGTGCTACAGGGTGATGTAAAGAGAGGACTCACTGAGAAGGCCAGGCCGGAGGGAGAGATGTGGGAGACGGCGTGCAAGGAGCAGCAGAGGCGGGCTAACGACGAAACTAAGAAGGAATTACCACAGAACACTGATCCCATGAACCCTGCTCTCCAACATCTGCTGACTGGGAAAAAAAATGGTTGATCTCCGACTTAAACTCAACTTCAAAAAAGGAGATGAGTAACTGCTGCACCATTATTCTGACTGAGACTTAGCTTCATTCATCGATACCGGACAATGCTATTAGCCTGGAGGGCCTTGCACTATTCGGTGCCGATAGAAACAAAGAACTAAGCGGTAAGACTAAAGGTGGTGGGTTCTGGGTTTACATTAACAACAGTGGGCTGGTGAAAAAATGCTAGATCATTCTCCTGCTTTTGCTCTCCAGACATCGAGTTTCTGACTGTTAAATCTGCCCAGAGAGCTTAGTGTGGTTAGCATTATTGCTGTTTATGTGTCCCCCAGCACTAACACAAAGGAGGCCATAAAGATACACTCTATACAAGGCTATCTCTGGGCTTCAATCTGCATACACAGAGGTAGTTTTCATCATTGCTGGGGATTTTAACCAGGCTAACTTTAAGACTGTGCTCCCTCATTTCTACCAACATGTGGACATGTCTAACATCAAAGATGCATTCAGAGCTGCTCCCCGCCCCCATGATGATCAGATCCCCTTTCTGTCATGCTAATTTCTGCATACTGGCCCCAGCTAATCAGGGTTAAAATAAAATCGACAGTCAAAGAAGTCAGAGTGTGGTGTGAGGAGGCCATGGAGAAACTCCAAGATTCTTTTTAATGCTCTGACTGGAATATGATGAAAGCTGCAGCAACCTATGACAACAAGATAAATATAGATGAGTATGCCATGACTGTGTCAGCCTACATCAACAAATGCGTTGGGGATGTCAGCATCAAAAAGGACACCACCACCTGAGCACAACCAACGACCATGGATGAATGAGGAGGTTCAGAAATCAGCTTTCAAGTCTGGTGAAGAGGTTGGCACTGAGCACGTGCCAACTTGAACCGTGCTATCAAATCAGCGAAGCAGAACCACAGCCAAAAAAATCCAGGATCTTTTCCACAATGCCGGCAACACCAGGAGGATGTGGAAAGGCACACGGGTGATAACAGACCACAATCAACCAAGGACTGTTCTCCCTGCTTTCCTCTGGGAAAAAGCTTCGAAGCATCCGATGCAGGTCCAACTGCTTCTTCCCCACCGCTACCAGACAGCTGAACTGTTGAAAAAACTCTAAATCATGTCAGAAACTCTGCATCAAACTGACAACACCAAACCAAAACACTGCATAATTGCTTCATATATATTTAATGCTCCGAACTTTCCATATCAATGCGTTTTTTTTGTCCCATGTTTTTAATTCTCCCACACTGTTTACGTTTGATCAATGCTGCACTTCAAGAAATTAAAAGGTCATGAGAACTGTACAAAAAAAATTTCATTGACAATAAATGTTTAATGTCCAAGTTATAAAAAAAATACAATAAAAGGCATATTGTGAGAATGACACCAGAACTGTGTACAGTGCTTACACACATTCAGAAACTTTAAACACTTGAGATATAGATATACGGTAGATGTTTTATTTATGGAAATAATCTTTTTTTTTTCTTTTTTTTTTATCATATATACGATACGATGTTAGTATCACCTGTAACTAATCTAGTAATACCTGAAGCTTTCAGTACTGTTTTACATTAGAATTTAATTATATGCATATTTAAACAGGACACAAAAAATAATAAGAATGATTCCATGGTCCTGTAATGTTAAATGCAATAAAAGTTACTAAAATTAATAACAGTACCACCACCATGGTTCACATCGGATATCTTTAAACAGATTTGATTTTGATTCCCCTTTTTTCAGGTTATCTCCTGATTTTGCTCTTGTTTATATAACTGAGTATAATCTCTTGTCTGGTTCATTACTTCTTTCAGAATCCTTAGATAAAGGCCAGTTAGACCAAGTTGTATCTCTTTCATTAAACTATTTTCATAATGTAAGCATTGTGTTCAACTTGGTGGTTTCTGGGGATGAAAAGTTGGAAAAAGGGTATACCATTAGGCTCTGTATATGAGGCAACATGTTGCAGAATTTTCAGTGCATTTTTCTGTTTTGACAATACCATTAACTTCCTTGTTAGTTTTTAAAACAGGTCTAACTTGTCACAGTCATTAATTAAGGAAATTTAAAAACAGAAATCTTTCATTGTAAATTTACATTGTAAATTGTAAATTTATCAAAACCTTTCCAATCAGATAACCATGTACAACAGGTTATTTCTGAGTTTAAAAGAATCCTTTTAATGAACAGAAATGACCTCCTTCCACATTTGATAAGAATCAGATAAAGGCCGCTGCATTTTCAGATAAAACAAGGTTTCCATTCAGTCTTGACTGTCATCAGTCTGAGAAATATCAACCTACTCCTAATAACCTTCAAACCTTGAAAATTGAAGTAGACATTGTTTTTTTTAGGTCTTTAAGGCCTGATTAACACAGCAACATCTTACAGGTCTTTTTTTAAATCCTAACCTGAAACACAACAAACGGAAAATACACAAACAGATTTCATTTAGTTCAAAGTAAATAAACACGGTAGACGAGGAGGAAGCGATCGTGATACTTTGTGTGTTAAATTTACAATAAGAAACTTTGTTTGCTTAACGGGTGGAGACAGCAGAGCAAAGGATCTAAAGAGGTCGATTACTTTTTTTTCCCTCAGGAAATACTTTCTGATTTTGTGTGCTTTGTGTCAGATTAAACAGGGCTGACACAATTAGCTTGCCATGCAAACCAGGCATGGGACTAATTGACCACCAGGAAAATGGTGGAGAAAATTCTTAAAACTGGAAAACCTTCAAGATGGAGCCAAGATAAGCAAACAGAAAACACTGAAGATGGAAGATGTTGCTCATATAAAATTATAACCATGCTTAGATGCATGACAATGCAAACTTATGGTGCGTTCAGACCGAACACAGTGTCTGCTAAGCAAAAAGACTGAATGGTTATTACTTCATTAATGCAGGTTTGTGCATTTTAAATGGTTATTTATAAAAATGAAAGAAGAAAAAAAATCTATATATATATGTGTGTGTGTGTCATAATATGTGCTGCTTATGTTTCAGAGATATTAAAAATATTTTTTTTAGGTCACCCAGAGGTCAACTATCCATTAAGCTTTGAATTGAATCAAAATGATCTAGCCAACTTTTTCAGTGCTACTTTATTTCTGCAGGTAAAACTGTCATTTGTGTTAAAATAGAATAATTTTTAATAACGGCCAATGACATCACCATCCCAGCAGACATTAGTGCTGCACTCGTTCCTGATATAAAGCTATTGCATACAGTAACATCACATATTATTCCTGTGCTGGCATTGAATATAACAATGGGCATGTTTACCTTATTTAGTGGCTGGAATGATTGTTTAATATTTAATCCATCACCAGCCTCCCAGACCCTTCGCTTTGGACATGCCGTTACTCCTAGCAACCCCATAGCATTTCTTTTCAAGGTCTCTCTGTCGGCATCTCACACTAAAAACACAGATGAATCTTAACATCACGGGCTGCTGCTAAATTGTTCTCTATGAACAACTTTTGAATCGCATTGGGGAGACCATCATTTATTGGAAAAGCCCCAAATTTCTGAAAAAAAGATTCACTTTGGTTTATGCAGAGCTGTGTCTGGTTGACGGTGGGATTCGGCGGTACTTCCTTGTAAATCTACCCCAGCAGTAAACCCGTTGGTTAAAAAATGAATAAATAAATGTGACTATTTTACAGCAAGAATAGAGGAGCAGGAATGTGCCTGAATATCAGACCCTCAGCTGTTATTCCAATGACTAACAAAGGAGTGATGGTGGCAAAGTAAGCGATGGAACTCACTGGAAAGGAGAGGCTCCAGGGTGTACTTTCCAACACAAGATACCCAGGCAGGAACAAACAGGATCTTCTGCAACCAGAGGACATTGGAGTGGTACAATCCTCCTGAGATCTGAAAAAATAAACACAAACGGCATCAATACTGAAAGCTTTGCCTATTTGTATGAACTAAAAATGTCACAGGAATGTCACAATGCGTTCCTGGGGTTAGCAAGTAAAACAACAAGAGGTGTAATTCTTAAACAAAGAGCAACCACACAGTTGCACAGTCTGCATTGCAAAATAGGAAAATGTCTGTTTTGCAATGCTGCATTGCACACAGACTAAACGCTGTTACAACATAGCAGATTATCTAGTGTGATGGTCCTGCTTGTTTTATCAGAAAGCGAGTAACTATCCTTAAAAAAACATTTGGAATATATTTTCATTTAGAGCAACAGCATTGTAGATGTCTTTCTCTAACTAGAGATTAAAGAAAAGAGGTGATGGTTACTAACCAGTCCGCTCAACGCAAGGAGCCACATGAAGGGGCTGGAAGTTAGCAGCTGCAACAGAGCATATTTGAGACAATGTTGGATTGGAAACTTTTGGTTTTCAGGAATTTAACATCAGTGCAAGCAGAAAAAGAACCATGTTTGTAGAGAACTGAAACATGTGCTTACCTGCAGGCCTACTATGTAAACCAGAGTTTTGTTGGTGATCTGGATGTGGCCCAGGACTTGAGTGACTGGCATTCTGGGGACTGACTGGTAGAAAGGCACAAATAGAGAGAAGACTGGAGCGAGCCTGTGGACGGAGAGTTCACTCAGTTTGGAAGGATCTCATCTTTCTGACCGAAAATGTCAATTTTACCAAACTATGCTCTAAACTCTGTTAGTTATTTGTTAGATGAATGTAAAACATTTCCACCCATGTTCAACTAAAGTTAAACATTTATCAAGTAATTGAAAATGTTCACAATTTATTAAGTAGAAAGATGTTTGAACAAATCTGTAGACTTTCAAAAATCCTTAAAGCAACAAAAACTAGATTGGCCTTCTACTCACAGTCCTGCTGGTAGTTCCTCCACCTCATATTCAAACAGGTACTGGAAGGCCTGGGCCAAAAGGAAGTCCGCCAGTGCAGAGAGAAACCAGGTAGCCAGCAGGAATGACTGGAGGTGCAACCACAGAAGAACAAGATAAGAAATATGCACAAAACCAATCGATATATCCACAATAGACCAGAAACAATCAACTAAAAGAGGAAGCTACCAGGGGCGGATCAAGGATTTTTCAAAGGGGGATGCACACCTAAGGGTAATGTCAAGACAACGTGAAGTTAAATGACCAAAAAATGCCTTCTCTACTCTTTATGTGCAGGGTGGTGTTTTATTTCACGAAGAGGTGTTTTTCTAAAGTAATCTGATACTTAGGCTGGAAGATATGATTGATGTTTTATGTGCTACGTAGATGATCCCAAATCGGGGACCAGCGTCATCACGGAGACGGACTATGTGTTTTCACCCCTCAATTCTTACTTTTCATGACAAAAAAAAATATATTTGGTGGATTTTTACGACACATTGGTTATTTTATGGGAAATACACCTGGATGTTACTTTTCTGTGGAGTCTTACAGCAAAATTAGACCCTTTTTACCATGATGGGTCAACACCCAGCCAGGGCAGAGTGGAGCGGTGACCGACGATTTTCAGTAAGACCTTCAGTTTTCAATCTTAAGCCCAAGAGAACATGAGTTCTGCACAAACACAGCGATCCAAAGAACACCAGCTCCAAATGGTTCACAAACAAATACATAATTGTTTTGGAGTCGCCAAAATCCGATAATTGATATAGTTTCAAAACTTTAATAAGTGGGAGAAAAAAAAAGAAATATGCATGAAGACAAATTTCACAGAACTCATTCATATATCCTAAACCTCCGATAAGGATGGCTAAAAAAAGCTACAAAATCTATTTGTAAACTAATCAATCATTTGTTATCTTTGAGCTCAAGATTAATGTTCCATTTTTTCTTTAGTTTGCTTCATTTCTTCTTGGTTTTCATGTTAAAAATCACTGTTATATTGATATCTTGTAGTGAACAATATTGGCAATCTGAGAATGACCCACTGTAACATTCAAGCTTAATATTATTACTTACGGCAAACTTCCGGGTTCCAAACCTCCTCTCAAAAATTCGAAAGTTGTAAATGAGCAGGCTGCTGCAGAAGGAGTCCTTCACATCCAGACAGATCAGCCTGCAGCACAGCAGCCTCCACACCTACAGCGCACAGAGAAGCAGGCTTAAATCTGTTTACCCATTTACACAGCATGGCATTCAGAGGGATTATCAAGCATGTGGTAGTGATGCTTCTTCCAAAAACTGCAGCATTCAAAACGGACTTAAAAATTCCAGATATTATACGACTCCAGCAACATTTATTGGAGAATAAAGCCTACTGCATTACAGAGCCTTTATTATACCCAAAGTGGGTAAACCTTTTGATACTGCACATCAGACCCACCTAGAGTTGCTGGTGAAAAGCTAAATCTGTCCAAAGCACAGTTCAAGGAGGCTGGATTTATGATGGAAGGAATACAAAGTTTTATTTTTTCTTTTACAGCAAATTCAAAACAGCTTCATAACAGATTCAAATGTTTTCTTTTGCTTTTGTATGAAGACTTTGTAAATCTTTGATGTCACTCTTTCCTGGAGAGTTTTTTGTTTTTGTTTTGTTTGTTTCTTCAAACTTCCCTTACCATCCTGCTCAGGGTCTCGGGTGGCAGGTTCTTTGTCCGTACAGTGAAGATAATAAGTATTTGAACACCCTGCTAGTTCTCCCACTTAGAAATCATGGAGGGGTAGGTGCATGTTTACTGTTAGAGACATAATCTAAAAAAAAAAATCCATAAATCACAATGTATGATTTTTTTTTTACAATTTATTTGTATGATACAGCTGCAAATAAGTATTTGAATTTGGTCAGAATTCTATCAGCTAGAATTCTGATATTCAATGACCTGTTAGTCTGCCTTTAAAATATCCACCTCCACTGTATTTATCATCCTAAATTAGATGCACCTGTTTGAGGTCGTTAGCTGAAAAAAGACACCTGTCTGTATGCTTTATACAATCTGTAAGAATCCTAATACTATCATGGCAAAGACCAAGAGTTTTCCAAAGATTCTTGAAACAAAATTGTACACCTCCACAAGCCTGGAAAGAGCTACAAGAAATCTGTCAAGCAGCTTGGGAACAAAAGGTCCTCTGTTGGAGCAATCATTAAAAAATGGAAGCAGCTAAACATGACTGTCAATCTTCCTCAGACTGGGGCTCCATGCAAGATCTCACCTGGTGGGGTCTCAATGATCCTAAGAAAGGTGAGAAATCTGCACAGAACTACCTGGGAGGAGCTCGTCAATGACCTGAAAAGAGCTGGGATCACTGTTTCCAAAGTTACTGTTGGTAATACACTTAGACGTCATGGTTTGAAGTCATGCATGGCACAGAAGGTTCCCCCTGCTTAGACCAGCACTAGTCAAAGTTTTCTAATGACCATTTGGATGATCCAGAGGAGTCATGGGGGAAAGTCATGTTGTCATATGAGACAAAAATAGAACTTTTTGGTCATAATTCCACTAACTGTGTTTGGAGGAAGAAGAGTGAAGAGAACAATCCCAAGGAAACCATCCGTACTGAGAAGCATGGGGGTGGTAGCATCATGCTTTGGGGGTGTTTTTCTGCACATGGGACAGGGCGACTGCACTGTATTAAGGAGAGGATGACTGGGGCCATATATTGGGAGATTTTGGGGAACAACCTCCTTCCCTCAGTTAGAACATTGAAGATGGGTCGAGGCCGGGTTCTCCAACATTACAATGACCCGAAGCACACAGCCAGGATAACCAAGGAGTGGCTCTCTAAGAAGCATATCAAGGTTCTGACGTGGCCTAGCCAGTCTCCAGACCTAAACCCAATAGAAAATCTTTGGAGCGAGCTCAAACTCTGTGTTTTTCAGCAACAGCCCAGAAACCTGACTGATCTAGAGAAGATTTGTGTGGAGCAGTGGGCCAAAATCCCTCCTGCAGTGGATGCAAATCTGGTGAAAAACTACAGGAAACATTTGACCTCTGTAATTGCAAACAAAGGCTACTGTACCAAATATTCCCATTGATTTTCTCAGGTATTCAAATACTTATATGCAGCTTTATCATACAAATAAATAGTTATAAATCCTTCATAGTGATTTCTGGATTTTTTTTTTTTTTAGATTATGTCCCTCAAAGTGGACATGCACCTATGATGACAATTTCAGACCTCTCCATGATTTCTATGTGGGAGAACTCTCAAATAGCAGGGTGTTCAAATACTTATGTTTCCTGCTGTGTTAGAGGCTTAATGGTCAGAAAGAAACTGCCTAAATGTCATGGAAACATTGATTACTAATTTAAGGTTCCTTGAGGGTTTGAAACACTAAATAAGCAGAGAATAAAATATTTGCTTTACAGACACTGTGAGGGCATATTTTACAGGTTGGACGTTCTATATTTTGGAGGGTTAGACTACACCAATACAATAAAATATTTCAAAACAATAATAGTAAAGATGTGAATAAATATGTATAATATGTAGGTATACTGCTGCTTTATCATCCAGATTTGTAACTGATGGGAGATCATAAAGGGGAAGAAATCTTTATTTTTTTTCAGAATGTGATTTTTATAGGGTTGTAACTAACGATTATTTTGCAAATCGATTAATATTGGATAGCAAAAGGTTCCTTAAAGATTTGTACTAAATTAAACCAGGCGAAACTAAAACTTTTCCAACAGACCAGAAAAGTATTTTTTTTCTTAAATGCAAAAATGTTTACATATATTTTTTTTTACAATTTTATTATAATTGCTGCTCAAGATGGGTCGCTCTGTCAGCTAAAGACACATTTTACAGTCTCTATACTCCATTTAACGATTCATCGATTACTATATTAGTTCACAATTATTTTAATAATAGATTAATCCAATTAATTGTTTCAGACCTTAATTTTTAGCTTGAAAGTCTAACATAGACACTGATGTTTCTCTGTATTTGCACAAAACAGGATCTAATTAATTTTATTGAAAAACAAAATCAACAGCTTTTCCTACAGCGCCTAAGTGTTCAGAGTTAAAGCAATACTCAATGGGAAACTAATAATCTATAAAATGGTAACAATTCAAATTGTTGATATAAACCTACTGATAGCTAAAGGAAGGCAGTCCATTTAAAGAGTGGAGCAGGTTTGCCCTGCAGATAAGAAACAGGAAGCGCCTCAGTCATTAAATATGAGCTGAATACCTGGCCTCTGGGTCTGAGGCATACCTGGTTCTGGTGTGTCACAGCATGCAGGCTGTACACAAACATGTCCTGGTACTGAGGCAGAAGGGTCAGCATCACAGTCAGCCCATTGAGGATCAACAGGAGACCTTTACACAGAGGAGCCTTGTCTGTAAAAAAAAAATTAAAAAACAAAAATACTTCAAAGTTCACCATAAAACGGTCCAATAATTTAACTATAGATGATCATTATTTCACTAAAAACACATTAACTTAACAGACGTGCTGCTGGGAAACGCGAGACCTATTAATTTAATAAAATAAAATCTAAAACTGACAAATTGTAGCCATGAGTAAATGAATGACAGCGGTATGCTAACAGTTAGCTTTAAACTGTCAAAGGGGGTTGAAAGGAGCGATACTTACACAGGCCCCGAGAGCCGGTGGTGATAAACATCGTGTTCAGATGAGAGAAGGAACCCGGAAAAAGGCCGCTAACTCCCAGACAAGACAAAATTAGCTCCTAAACAGCGCGATAAAGGTGATACGGAGATCCATGTTGCCACAATAAGGAAAAAGAGGAGGAAGGAATCTACTACGGAAGCCGTGGAGGCAAGGAAGGTTTTTTTTTTTTGGCAAGTTAGACTGCATTACAGAAATGGAACGATAGATAGAGCTGTGGTACCATGTTTAAGGATGTCCCTTTTTAATAGACAACTTCGATTATATCTAATTAAATCCATCGTTTCTAAATGTAAATAAGAGCCTTATTGACTGGTTGATAAAACATTTGAACATTGCTCTGGAAAATTTTCAAATATTAGTTAAGAAAATAAATTGCTAAAGTTGGCTAAATGCAAGAAACTTTAAATAAAAGTGGGGGGTTTTATATGTTTTTTAGTGCTTTGCTTAGGTTTTTAGGCATTTGGTAATATTTCTTGAACTACATGATTTCAGTTCAACATTTTGAATTTCTCCCTGAAAAAAAAAATAAAAATTCTCACAATGGTTTAAATAACTTTTGTGAATCCCTCCTGACAGAACAGGTGTTTACAATTTTTGGACCCCATTCTTTTCAGCTCTGCCTGTTCTGATGCACACACATCGGGGCTTTTTGATAGCTATTCAAAATAATTGAATTGTTTTCCTTAAAACACTTTGTAACCAGTGTATTATAATGTGCACTGTTTTCAATAGAAGACCAATTTCTGAAAATGTTTATTTCCTGGTTGATGATGTGAGATGTTGCTTCAATATTTCTACATTATATTATTTCCTCATGATACGTCGTGTTTTATGGAAGTGCACCAGTTCCTTCTGCACATACTGTTCTAAAATTTGCAGGCCTCTTGCCTTTTTCTCCAAATGCAGCTATTATCATTAACATTATTGGCCAAACATACATTTTTAATTTCATTAGATCATTAAGTATATACCTCTCCAAAATAAGTTCTTTGCCCTGGTGTGCATTTAGTAATCTGGCTTATTCCAGCTTCAGTCAGCATGTTCATAATGGAATTGAAGTGCTTTTTTGCACCCAGGGTTCATCTTTGCGATAAAAACCCTGTTAGCCCTATAAATAAGACGATAGTTGCTCATTTATGGAGGCGCAAAATGATTTTGTCATATCTTGCCTGAATTTTTGTAATTAGCCAATCTCAGAAAAAAAGCAGTGTTTGATGTTTCACTTTAAAATAAATATGTTTTTACATTTAATTCAGGTATCTTGAATTAATCTATCTGAAGAGGCTTAGATTTGTTTAATTGCTTAAGGTAAAATTACTCATAGTGAATGTGAGCTTCTAAGTCTGAAGAATGAAATATAGATGCATAAAAAAATGATTTCACTACTTTTTCTGGTATTTAGCTAGTAGAAATATTTTTTTCAAACCAAAACTGACCTAATACAGCACACTTTATATAACTATATGTACGAATGTGTCATTGGGGCAGAATTTAGTATATTGGCTGACAAAGAAATCTGCTGAACCTCTTGGGTCACTTGGAGATCAAGTTAATACACATGATCAGTATCCTGTTTTTGGTACTGGAAGTAACTTCATACAAATTGGTAAGCTTTGAGAGCCATCCCCTTTAAGAAGCAGACAATCAAAAAACAAAAACAAAGGGTCAAATCAACCACCCAACAACAGTTTATTTTACATGTGTACTTTATTAAGAGCAGAACAACAAAAATGTTTTAATATTCTGTGCAAAAAGGACCCAAAGCTACTTAAACAAGATCTAAAAGGTTTTTTTTGTATATTGCTGCTGAGGTTTATGTATCAAAATGTAAAAAAAATAAATAAAATGTTTGCAGATACAATTAGTTGGATTGTAATAATTTCAGTCTGCTCTAACACATGCATACATTTAGCATCATATGTAGGCTGAGAGCTCTGCTTTCATCCTACCTCACTCATGTTGTACAGTATATATCATGCTAGGTATATATTAACTAGGTATATATTAACCATTTATATTCATGGTTAATATATCAAAATGGAAAAAAGTCTCAATCCTGGGCAATTCATTCCAAAAAATTAAGACAAACAAAATGAAAACCTACTAATTACCAATGTCGAATCATGCATTTAAAATTTTGGGGGGAAATAAAGTTAAAATTTTCGATGATTTTCTTATTTTCTAGGAATTGATTTTTGTTTCACTCACACACTGAAACCTACAGTATTTAGTTTTTCAGTCCTATTAGCAGACATCTATCCCCAGGCTGAAAACCCCCTCATCTAATAGTCGCTCTGTTCTCCTAGCTGGAATTTAGCGTAGGGTTCATAAGCATTTTATCAGGGCAGATCATGTATCCAGATCATTCTCCTGTTGAGTACTCATTTTACTCATGATGGCACCCTGCTATTATCATTTGACCCATATCAGGGTATTCCAATGCCCTGAAGCGCAGATGTAATCATGTTTCATCCTTAGCTAGTCATCACTGAAGGCCCTTTGCGTATTATGATGTATTTATATCTGTTTGGCCAGCAGCACAGGAAATGTTTCATGTCTTGAAGTCATGTGATCTTCTGTCTGACAGAGGGAAGGGGGTGGGGGGCAGTGTTAATTGTCCTTAGGGTCTTAAGCAGGATATGGCTACAAAAAAGTCCAGATTAATTACCTTTTCTTATGGTCCTGTGGCCTTTATGTGCACTGTGTCATACCTCGTCAAGGGCCAGACTTCCTCTGCAGAGAACCTGCTTTGTCTTTTACTATACTGGCTGCCGGTTTTATTCATATCAGTTTGTTCCTCGTTGCCAGAGTGTGCACGCTCCTGCTGCCATTTGATCCAGTGCTTATGTTTCGTCCAAGTACGTTTGAAAAGATATGGAGAACAGCTGTCTAACAGTGTTGCGTTTCCCCATCATCCTGCAGATGCAGTTAAATTAGTTCCCATTGGTTAGTTCCCACCCATTAGGTCTATTTGGCTGCCTGTGGTCAGATGTGACTGCAAAGCAGAGCTCAGTAACAGCTTGCTAATTGTGTTTCAGACCTTCTCTGTCACTGATGTGGGAGTGAGGTTTAAAAAGGTTGCTTTGCCCCTGTTCTCAATCAAAGATAATCAGATTAAACAATGCGGGGATGTGTGTGTATGCGTGTGTGTGCTTACCAATAAAGAGACTCCAGATTTGGAGACAGCCTTGACTCCTGCTGTTTGCTTTGTTCATTAAGGGGAGATGAGCAGATGGTTTGCTGGTCTGTTGTGCAGCGCACACATACGGGCTCACACAAACACACATGCAAATACACAAACGCACATGAACTCAGTGCTGTCACCTTAGCTTTATCCTCCATTTATCTTTTCCATTACACATCTCTCAGCAGGACAAAGCTGCTCAGTCAATTGTGAGGGATGCATGTGTGTGTGTGTGTGAGAGAGACAGAAAGGGATACAAGAGGATGTTAAAAGAGCAGAGCAGTGCAAAATGAAGTCAAATCTTTTTCAGCCAAGACAGCCTCTAAGGTGGTCATCTGAAAAGCTGATGACTCATTCACACGTTAGTTTATGTGAAGCGTTGTTCTTCACCCGTCAGCCGCTGAAAAGGAGCCACCGCCTGCAGCACAGGTATCGGTTTAGTCCTGCTTCCCCACTCATCTGTCTGCGTCCAGGAAAGGGCACAGAGCACATTTACACAAGACTGCATGAGTACAATAACTATATAATATCCGGCATTGAAATGTTTGGTTTCTTAAGATCTTTTCCCATTGCTGAAAGTTTTTTCAATATTTGTACATAGTGTCAAAGTAAATTGACTCTTTTAGAGTTATTGCAACAACTACTGGAGCAACATATACACTACAAAGAGAGTTAAGTTATCTGCTGGTGTTGGACCAATGTGCGCTGTTTGTTGTCAAAGTTTACAAAGATCCTGATTTCATTTTCCAGCAGGACTTTGAGACATGGGCCGTGAGTACCAACAGTTGGTTTAAGGATGAAAGCACCACAGCTCTGGCTGCTGGACCAGCAACCTCGACTGACCTTAACCACAATTACATTTTAAGAGTATTTTTAAAAATGTAAATAATAAACACCAGACCCAACGGATGCAATTTACATTAGGGCAGAAATAAAAGCTCAAAAAACACCTCAGCAGAGCTACAGTCTCCTCCAGGCAAGGCTGCAGTAATTTATGCAAAGGAGGTGGAACTAGACATTAAGAGCATTTAGAGAACATAACATAGATTTATATTCAAGTATGCTAACATTTGTTTTGAATTTTTTCTTACTGCTAGTTTCATTAAGCAGTAGAATCTAACATGTTTTAATGTTACTCTAATCTTAAAATGAATTTTAAATTTATCTGTAACATATAATCAGAGTTTAACTAGGCTTTATCTTTTGAACAGAATTACTAAAATACGGTAATTTTTTACAGCATTGACTAGACAGTATTTATACCCACATTTAATCTGAAAATTACATTTTTATTTTGTAATTTGTGTTGATTTGTCATGATTTGTCCCTGTAGTTGGGATTGTCATTATCCTGTCTCCATCATGTTGCTTTCATTTAGCTTTTAGACTTAGACAAACTTTATTGTAATTTTGTATACACAGTGTATACAAAAGAAACACATTTATACACTTTTATAAGTTTGCAGGATAAGTGGGATATAGTCTTTTGGGCTATATAATCAAAATAAAGAATTATGATCTAAATTTCCCACTTTATACTATTTGTCCCCATTCCAAAGTAATAAAAACAACAACTCAATCTAAAATCAAGCAATGACACAGTTTAATAAAAAGGATCTGTATTGTTTGTATTGTCAAACTGCACTACTGCATAACATACACAATACAAGTCATTTACTGACTGTACAACATGCCATGTTTTTCATTTAATAATAATAATAACAATAATAATAATAAAAATGGTGACTATATATATGTACACACCTCTGTTACAGGTTATATTCATCAATGGTGTCGAAAACAAACGGCACTGACAGAAAAAAAAGACATTTATGGTCATTTTAAGCAACGCTTTAAAAACTGATAAAAAGAAACACAGTTTTAACACAACATCAGAATAAAATTCTCCCCCACTAATAATTGAAGCAATAAATTAAACCACAAAGATGATGTAGGGGA